TCATTGTCATTATAAAAACGGGTGATCATTGCATACGGGCCATCAGTCATATCAAATGCACCGACTGGAATGAATGAAAAGTGAGCGAGAGAGAAAAGGAATAGAACGAAAAGAAAAATAGAAGCGCGTATTTAATTAACGATCCGTTTGAATCAACTGTGGCTGTCAATCACAATTTATTGATGGTTTGACACATTTTTTATTTCTTGGGAAATACGAAATAGCCCTGGAAATGAATGACGTCGATGGCGTCATATCAACAAATACAACAGTACAATGGCACACATTGTAATTTTCGGTTTTAATACACGCACATTCCGACGCGACACTATTTGTTGGGTTTCTTAATAAAAATTTATGACATGTGCGCTTTTCACGAATGACAGAAGAGAAAAACGCACACACAAAGAACAAACAGGTCTCATAAAACTGTATGTACTCGGATTCGAGTACCCGAATTCCATGTTTCAAGCTCTTGACACAATGGAGCCCAGATAACGCGTTCGCTCACTACAGCCCAACTACATACATGGCCGAAAAGATTCTCGTATTCAAAATGAAATGCGTAACTTGTAACATTACACGCGTCGTTATCTCTCTGGCTTGGTTTTTTATTCTTATTTCAATGAATTTTTTCAAGTTTTTTCCCTACACTTTTCACGATTACATCGCCTTTTCACTGTATTTGCCTACAAATATTTGCTGAAGCGCAGCCTCTTTTATGGAATTACACCGTGCAACAATTTTGAACTTTGTTTTGCCTATCGAGATTTCAAGTCCCCGGTTTTAGAGGACCAAAAACCAAACAAAACTGCATCATTCGGTAAGCTCTAAGGTAGCGTCTATCAACATGGCACAGTGAATTCTGATTTGGAACTCTGAAATTATGACAGAAACCTACATTACTTAAAAATCGTTTACTCATCAAAATCGGTCGGGAGATATAGCACAAAACATGTTTGAACTCACCAAAACTGAAAAATAGCAAACTTTGTTCGGTGACTATATTTTCTTGCAGATAAAACTGCAATTTTGGTATTGAAATCTAATTTTTTCGTGAAAAAACTAATCCATACCAAATTTGAAGTCAATCGGATGAAAAATTAGGGTACCTCCCGAACAAATTCGGTTATATTTCGAACAAAAATCGAACATTTGTTCTCAAATTTTAGGATACCAAAAATTATGGGAAGGTCTTACTTTCCAAGTAATGTAGGTTTCTGTCATAATTTCAGAGTTCCAAATCAGAATTCACTGTGCCATGTTGACAGACGCTACCTTGGAGCTTACCGAAATCGATAACTTTCTTATATGCACGTCACCCAGAAAAAGTAATGATGCAGTTTTGTTTGGTTTTTGGCCCTCTAAAACCGGGGACTTGAAATCTCGATAGGCAAAAAAAAGTTCAAAATTGTTGCACGGTGTTATTGCCACTTTTAAAATGCGAGCACTGGCGCTTCATTAAGCGAATTATGAATTGTTGGGTATTATAAAAGTGTATCATTTTGAGGGCATCTCTCGCGCGCTCTCTCTCTCTCTCTCTTTCTCTCTCTCTCTCTCAACTCTTGTATTGTGCGATCACAACTCTTGGCATATATACAGTGTGTACTGACAATGTGATGTGTAATCACACCGCTGCAAATATAAAATATTGTTACTATGGCTGATTGTATGTCGCCTGCTCTCGGCCACACAGCCAAAAGTGTTCAACATTTGTTGTTCGTAATAAAACAGAAGAAAAAAAAAATAGGAGAAAGAAAAATAAATCAACGAGCAAGCAACGAAAAACACCACCGCCGCCGCCCGCCAGCAACAATAAGAAATTTGAGCTATTGAATGAACTAGAAACTTACAACACCACACACTCAGTTTTGACAAAACAAAAATTTCGAAATCAACCGAAAAATTTACAAAAAAAAAGTACTCCATTTCGGTACCTACATCGTTGTGCACACGCACAAAGCACTATTTTTTTATGACATCCAACAAGTTAACGACGACGGCGACACATAGCCCTTTGTTCTGTGTGTTCTCTTCACATAATTTCCAATTGAATTTTTGTTATCTCAAACGAAACGAGAAAAAAACGAGAACACATTTTTACTACACACTAAACACATTGTCAATTAAAAACACAACTGTAAATTGTTTAATTTATTTTCATATTTTTCGAGTGAGAGATAATGATATGTTTTATGAATAATACACAAAAACCCAATGAATATGGGTTATGTCTATTGTGTGTATGTTATAACTCTTTCTTTCTCACTCTCTGGTAACTATTTCTCGATTCTCGAGTGTAGCGAATAAACGAGAAGTGGAGTGTTTACTTTGCCATACCAGCTGAACCGATATTTACATGTTTATTTATCATTATTTCTCGTTTTTTTTTTCTTGTGCTCTCTATTGGACTTAAATATATTACTTTTCCGTACACCGTGTCAAGGGAAAGTATAGAAATTGCTCCCGAAAACATTTTTTTTCGCAAAATTGGTTAAGATCATCATAAAAACTCATGAAACGTGTAGAAAACCACTTTTTGAGACACTTTTCCGTTCGTGTGCCGTCGTCGTTGGTGTTTGTTAACACGATAACTCAAAAAATAAAATTCTGAAAGTTTGAAACTAATCAGGATCGATTTATGGGTACCTCCCATACAAATTTTTGGAAATTTTGACTAAAATTACCGATTTTTGGACAATTTTGTATGGGAGGTACCCGTTCATCGATTCTGATTGTCTTCAAACTTTCTGAGGTTTCATTTTTTGGAGAAAAAATAAGATTCTGAAAGTTTCATGTTGATCGCATTTGCAGAAAGAACGACGAAAACGGTTGGATTCTTGACAACTTTGACATTTTGATGTACACACACATGTAAATACGTATGGTGGATTGGAAAACGTCAGCAATAAACTATACTAACACTAGGTGTAGCAAGTTCATCGAATGTGTGAACGGGTGACAATATTCGATGACTTCAAAATCATATGAAAAACCACACAAGTTTTGACAGTGCAAACTCACGATTTTTTCATAACATTTCTTTGAATAACAAATCGTGGATGAAGCCTAGGCTTTGCAGAGCCCGAATATCAACAATAAAAGAAAATAAATGAATATAATTCCCAAACAAATAATGTATATAAAATGTATGGCGTTTCCAATCTCACCACTGTTCACCACAATCAATCAAAGGATTAATGTGAATGACGCATGACAAAGTGACTTTGACAGTACACGCATATGAATTGTTGTCATGTTTACAGTCGGAAACGTCAATGCAAAATCTCCAGTATCCAGTTTCAGTCTACTTTGGTTTTTTGTCCTCAATTTTTGTCGATATTTTCTTGGAAAAAATTGAGGGCCAAAAACCAAACTTCTGCAAATGCGATCAACATGAAACTTTCAGAATCTTGTTTTTTCTCCAAAAAATGAAACCTCAGAAGGTTTGAAGCCAATCAAAATCGATTAACGGGTACCTCTCATACAAAATTGTCGAAGTTTTAGTTAAAGTGACCGATTTTTCACTTTATTTTCATTATTATATTTTCACTGCCTTTATTTCAAGAAAATTCACAAAAAATAACCAAAAGTACCTACGGACAATGCAAGACAACGGTACGGAAAAGTTCGGGATTACCAATGTAATTCTTTTTATTTATATTATATATCGGTATATGGTCCACCAAATGGGAAATTACGTTGCGTGCGGCATTTAAATGATTGACTGATCAGACCCGTGTAAAAATTTTCGAACAACAATTATTATTATAACTGATTTTGATTTCATGCTGGGCCGCGTTTGCATGCATTTGTAATGTTAATTTTTTTGTTGTTCTTCGTTGGATATGAAACTGAAAAGGGAAAAATTTTCATTAAATTTGTTTCTTTTTTCTTCAATAATAAATCGAAAAAGATGAACCAGACAGCCAACCGACGAACGTTTTCCAAGAGAAACTGGAAATTATTATTAGTTTTTCGGGCGAAAAATAAAGGATGTAATTGCGAATACAGCGAAACATTTCAACAGCAATAACTATGTCGATGTGATGTTCATCGTCTTTTCTCATTGTTTTGTGGAAAATTCTCTACGAATTGGAACAACGTATAATTAAATTAGACTCTTTTACTTAAATGGCTTTGCTTGCTCGGCTCCGCACATTCGTTGGGATTGCCGGAGAGGCCGATGTCGGCAGTGTGTTACAATGAATGAATGAAGAAAACTAATAAAAAAAATGTGTCAAATTCATTTATGACGGTTATTTTATTTTAGCTTGATTATAGAGAATTTCATTATGGCAATGTTCACACGAATCGGCATCTCTCTTGGTTTTACTATATTTTGTTGTGCAACCCGAGACACATTCCCGTGTGTGTGTGTGCGAGTGTGTGTGGCACATCGAAACGCATATCATTTTCATACCGTATTTTCATATAAATATATTTTCTACATCAAAAGACATGTAAATTTACCGTTATGAAAGCGAATCAAACCATGATGGTTGTGTCTTTGCTTGGAATCCACTGTGTTGCCAGGCAGAGGTCCGATGTACGCTCAACAATATCGCGGTACCGAGCGATTCATCAAAGAAACAGAGGAAGAGAGAGAAAGAGAGGAAACAAAGGAAATAAGTACGGCCTAAAAGTGATTCTCGATGACGAAATAGCAAATGAAAAAAAAATTAAACAACGTCATAAGAATCTTAAATGTGAATTAAACGCTGAAAATACACGTACTCGAAATGCCAAAGCATTTTGAATGACCCCACATATGGCGCAAATAGCTAACATTTTTGACCCAAAAGAAAAACCACGACGAATAAGTCATCATTGAAAGAAATGAAAGATATGCCAATTCGAGCGTTCAAGGAGCATGTCGCCGAGGCTGTGTGTGTGGCGGGAAGGGTTCCACCAAAGCAGCAGAAGTCATATGAAAACCGATCACTCATCATTGGCTCATATTTCTATAAATGCAGTAATTAAAATTATTATTATCATAATTTTTTCTTCTTCTTTTTTTTGTATTGAAAATTTCTTATTAGCGGTCGTTGGCGGAGTAACGAATGAAGATGTGGTCTATTTGGTCACGATATGACCGATGTGTGCGCAAATAGTGAAAAAAAAAAACTAGAGAGAGATACATTTGTGCTTTTCGTCTGGAACGATGCATAATTGTTGAGCTGCAGGTAAAGAAAATGGTTTGTTGGTTCAATTGGAGAATGTTTGTAAACGGTATTTCGGAACCAATAGCACGAAAACAACGAACGTACAACGAAAAAAAAAAACAACAGCAACAACAGCGTCCAAACAGAAACATATCAGCCTTGAAACTTATAGACCGAATCATGTTCTGTTCGCTCTTCAAGTTATGAAAACTGTGCGATCAATTGCCTGCCGTTGATGCACTTACAGCAGCAGAAGCGGCACCAACAGGCTTGTGTAGTTCTACCATTTGCCAATGGGCCTGGTAAAACTTTGTAGATAATTACTTGTTGATTGGTTAAATTGAAAATGAATATGATAGCATAATGGATGGCTGTAGCGAATTCTAAGCTTGGCCGGGGCGGCCAATGAAGAAAGTGCCGCATCACAACCGACAACCGCAAAATAAGACAATTACCCGTTTTTTTGCCGTTCGTCGTTCTTGCGCGGTAAAGGTAAATGCGATCCAATTCGATTCGATTTGAATTTTACACGCGCGTCAGACGGAAACATCAACATAATCGCCTCGAAAAATGATTGAAAATTAAACAATTTAACCAAAAAACGAAGAACAAAAACCAAAATTAATAACGAAAAGCATCAAACTATGAAATCGATCGTGCTTTTCATTAAGTTTGTAATCGGTCGGCTTACAGCCAGAAGAAGAAGAGTGAAAATATGCTCGAAATCAGTTGTGTGCGCCTGTTTTCTTTTTTTTTATTCGTCAGAGATTTGATTTCGTTATTCGGTTTGAAATAAATTTCTTATCAACATCCGGTGTTTGAGTTCAAAAAAGGCATCAAACGAAAGACATCACACGGCGAGTGAGCAAGAGAGAGAGAGAATTTTGTTTGCATCGTTCCATTCAATGATAATCGTGACTCGAATTCAACAAAACAAAAAAATATTACATGAAATTGTGACTGATTCTGATTCTCTCTTCGCTATGTGTGTGCTTCTCAATGTAAATGTTTGCCCAGCAAAGAATAATAAGGGACAGACAACGAAAAAATGCCACACAGTTTTTTTTCTCGCTCTCTCTCGTTGACTATGACCTCTCTGATCGCACTTTGGAATGGGAAATAAGAGCACCGTTCATGTTCATTGAATGAATGAAAATCTGTATGAATTTATAAAAACAACTACGGCGATTTTTTGGTCGTTCTTTTTTTTCTCTCCCTATAACATACATTGTACCACATGCGCTTGTTAGTTATGGTCGTTTAACATTCAGTTGAGTGTTAACAACTTTGTTTGGTTTTTGCTCCCACAGATGATTGATAACAAGAGTAAGGTTATTATGAAGAATGAATGTTATAAAAAAAAACGGTCTTAATTTTGAACCTATTTCCTCCGAAAAAAAAGAATCATCAACGATCAAATGGTTTTGTAACAAATTAGTGATCACGTTGGGCAAATTAAACAGGCGAATTATTTCAGAGATTTTGTTTTTTGATACGCAGAAAGGCCATAGAACTGTTTTGAGATGTGAATAAAGCGAAAGAAAGCCGAGCCAAATGATGAAGCCCAAGCCACAATTCCCGTATCTTTTTTTTTCTAAAAAACCGATTGGGAAATTGACTCGATCTCTCATCGCAATAAAATCCTACCGTTTTAATTATGTTAATCTCATTAAATACGCATTTATATGTGCGTGTGCAAGAAACACAGCACACATTTACTAGAAGGCTTTTGTTATACTTATCCATATTTCATAGAGATATTTGCGTTTAATTGTATGCCATGGTGCTGTGGCGAGAGAGAGACAGAGCACGAGATAGAGAAACAAGACCGCAGAGCTTCGCTTCGCTCCGCTCTGCGTTCTTGAGTTTTTAGTTGCTTAATCTATTTTGTTGTTTCACAACAAACTATTTTTTGGTGCACTACATGAAATGTATTTCATCAAAGTAACTTTGAAGTAATATATTTACTTTCGTCACTCGCGCCTGCTGTCGCCGGCTGTGATTTGCAAAATGAATTACAAGATCTTGGTTTAATTTCTTTTTTGAAATATACTGCCTTTGGTTTAAATTAAATAAATAATATGAGCATAGAATCTAAAATCACTTTAATTTTGGGCCAGACTCAGAAAATATTATACGAAAAATTAATGTAATTTTTAAACAACATTTGATAATAAAAATTTGATTGGCGCTTTGAGATATTATGCACTTATTTGTCGTTACTGCCACTGTTTTAAATTAAATAAAAAATATTAGCATAAAATTCAAATTCACCATAATTTGTTTCAACACTCAAAAAGTATCTAGGAAAAAAAGAGCAGATTAGTAGCTCTACATTTCATGTAGTGCTAAAAAAAGGAGAGACTCGATCTTGTTCAATTTTCTGTGCTTCAGTCGTCTCAGTATGTGCTTGCAATCACTTCGACGGTCTGCTTCTTGAATTTTTCCTATTCCTTTACTTCGCGCGCGATCGCGCACTCGCTCATTTCATTCATTTCTTCTTTTTTGTTACATTTTTTTTATTTCATTTCAAATATTTTTCATGTGATTATTAATTTTGTGATTTTCTTTTCTCTTCCTTTTCTACTTCTGTACACGCGATTGCTACAGTTTTTTTTCCTCTTCTTCTGTTCCTTTCATTTCTCAAAGTGTTGACGGAATTCATTGATAAGAAGAGCGTTCAAGTAACGGCGGCGACAGTCGTGAACGAATGAGAGAAGAGAATAAAAAAAATAACCAACAATGATTGCAGCGGTGCCGCAATGAAGCACCAGAAAAGGGAAACAAAAACGCTTATTATTACTATTCATTCATAATTTGAAAATATGCTGTGTATACTGGCTGTTTACTCGAATTCATAAATGAAAAATGTAAATACTCTCAATGGAATTGGGTTGGAATTTTGAGTTTTCTTTTTCTTCATCTTTTTCTTCTTGATTCGAATATGAAACGAACTTGTTATTTGAATGTAGCAATATTGATGATAACTACAACAAAATATTCAAACGATTTTGAACTTTGAATACTTATCGTGAGCGCTTATGAGGCGTTAGATTTCGGTACTTCCCCTTTTGATCCCAACATCCGACGGACTATGCTTGAAATTCTGAAAATGACACAGAAAAAAAGAGGGAATTAGTATGTTTTTTTTATTGTAAGAAGAGATTCGTAGAACATATCCTCTTCAAATTACGAAATTTTATCAAAGTATTTCCCCTGAAAAACCGCACTCCATCCACGCGATTCGCTTTTTTCGGTTATTTCGGAATATTCAAATCAAATTCAAAACAACGGTGAACGAGAGAAAAAAACCGATCGATTAATGTGAATATTTATGTAAATTGATTGGTTTGGTTGCACACCACCAACCAAACGTCGTTACATTTATATTAATTTACATGTTAAAATTGAACGAACGAACGAACGAGCCAGAAAGAGAGAGAGAGAGAGAGAGAGAGAGAGAGAGAACACAGCCAGAAATAGAGAGCCCATAGCCATAAAATGAGTGAAACGAGCGATTCGATGAATAGAAACGGGATAAAAGAAAAGTATGCATGTCAATTGATTCATAAAATGAAACTAGCCGAACGGTTGGTCGGAATGGTGGTTTATGAATATATGTGCGCGCCGAGGTACCGATAAAATCACTTGTGCCTTAAGTTTTGTGCCGTTGCTGGTTGAATTGGATTCCAAGTGAGTAGTTTTCTTTGCGCCTCACAATCGATGCGTGATCGCGTTGCGCATGTATGCATCCAATGGTATTTATGTCAAGTCAATAACACGTACGAACTGAATGATCAATGTGGTATGTCAAAGCGGCAAATACAAGAGCGTGAGCGAGAGCGAGAGAAATATGAGCAAAAACAAACAGGCAAGCATATCTCGTGGAAGAAATAAAAACGAAGAAGAAGAAGAAGAAGGAAAACACACAAACGCGTATTGTGTAAAATAAGTGCCCAATCCGAAACACAGCTCAATTCATTGAGAACGAGTGTAAATTACGAAAATAATGTGACGTTTTATTATTGTGGCTGGTTTTTTTCCCAACTCAAATCAACACACATTCTTCGTCGTCGTCATTGACGCTGTTGTTTGCCCGTGCCATTGTTCCGTGGCTATTCACTGACTTCTCTCTTTCTATTGGATTTGATGATTATTTTTGCCTCCACACACACCAAACGAAGAAAATCCACATCAAATGAAATTAGCGTATTGAGTATGCTCAATGTTCAATGCAACCGAGCAAACGGAATGGATTCGTTCATTATTTATTCGCATCTTGTATTATTATGAATGAAAAGAAATTCCAACAATCTTTGGCCTCTGAATAAATAAGATGTTTCCATTTCAAAATGTGCGACACATATGTGCGCGCAGCACACTGTGGCACAAAGGCTGAAGACTGAATGAAAGAAAAAACAATATTCTCACAGTCATCGAATCGACATTATTACCGCAATGATATTCAAATTCTGGTTCAAATTCAAATTTCAAATCAAAGCTTATGAACTCAACAAACATTCCATTCGCATTCCGTTACAGCAGCAAGCAAAACAACGGACACTTTGGTTTGGAGTGAGTGAGTTGTTGTTCTTTTTGCTTTCGCAAGGGAACCCATTACACAAATAAAAAAAAAATCGAAGCACAACTATGCTTTGACGGTGATTCAAGATTTTAAGCAAACTGACCGACTCGAAGAAGCTATAAAGTTTCATGCGCCCCGACAAAAACACTTGAAATTCCATGTATATTTACTGTGTGACTGGCGACTATGACGCCGTTGATTCAACAAAAAAATGTTGTTGAATAAAAAACGAACAAAAAACGACATAAACTTCAAAGTGTGAATGCCATAATCGTGTTTATTGAAACAACGTTGTTTCCGAGGCGCACAAAGCGCAGCTATTACTGCTTATATCTAGTGCGTGAGCGTGAGCGCACGCCTGCTCCTTCACTGTTTGTAGATTACGTTACACATTTCTCAGGAAAATTTGTCGTAATTTAATTTTCAAACGAACAAATTGTTACCACTTCTGAAATGCTGCATTCACAAAAAAAAAACAGACTCACTCACACACACGGTAACTAGCGCGATGATATTATCGGAATCGCTACTTGATTCGCATTTCCAGTGAATGCATGATTGTTTGATGAAACCAACCGATTGATATGTAGCGTATGCATATATATACACAATATTGACGAATCGTGTGCTCATGACGCACCACACAACTGATTCACATCACAAAATGTGTGCTCTTTGCTCGCCTTTTCCCGATTACTTGTATGCAAATTCCCTTGCTATTTGTCAAATTCTTCGAAAACAAATTAGCTCAACGCCACATTGATTTCTGGCGAGCGTGTTTCTACTTAAAGCTTCTTTCTACTTCGTATCTTACACACGAAGGATTGTTTTTTCCCTCGTTGCCGTGTGTGAGTCAACAAAACAGGCACGATGAGATGTCGTAAAAAAATGTGATCGTGTTCCGAAAAGTGTTCAAATGAGTGCGATCATGATTGCCAGATTAAGTGCGGTGAATGTATACATGATTTGCATCTCTCTAACTCGGCGTGTCTTTCTGCTAGTACGCCCAAGAAGTCAATCGGGAAAAACTGAAGAAGTCTTGAATGAAGGTTGAACCAAATAAATTGTTTCATTTCAAAGCTGAAATCAACACGAAAGTATGCGGTTGTGATCCACTGATCGCGCTGCGGATAAAATATTCATTATAGTAAATGGACTGTAATGAACACCGTTTAACCCAATTATTAACGAAATGATTGTTTGTTTGCAGTGGAGCGAAACGGGCGCGCAACCGACAATTCAGCACAAGCTAAGAGAGTAAGCGAGCGAGAGACTCGTGAGGAGTCGTGGTTTTTCTTCAGCAAAACCTCAAACTCGTTCACCCAGCACTTTCGTCGGTTGCATTTCGTCTTCTTTTCTCCACTTTGTCACTGTGTCGTGACTTTTTCATTTATATAGCCGATGAAGCCATTTGTACAGGAAGCAGACATCGCACGAGAGAGAAAAATCTAGTCTTGTTGGATTGAATAAGTAAAAGAGAGACGGAAAAAACGTACCGAGTCGGTAAAGCAAACTAACAATCGGGAAAGCACCTAGATTTGTTTTTTAGGCGCAATGCAATCTCAGTGCAATGACAAGCGGATCTAATTCAACTTCAAATAAAGCAGTCAAAATTCATCAAGCGGCACATTTATCAGATTGCATAGTGAAATCGGCTATTGCTGGCTCGTGCATCAAATACACATACAGAATCGAACCACGATCGGCAATGGCATGGAATGATATATTATGAATTGAAGCAGAACTCTCTTTGTCTCCCACTCAGTCACTGTTGGCGCTCTTATATACTGAATGCAAGAGAAAATCACATGGAACCCAATGCGAAAAGCGTTAAAATTACATAGAAAAACAATTAACCGCTGCTTCTTCCGGTCGTTGAATAATACTATCCATTATCACACATTTAACACAAATGCAATTCCAAAGCATTTCTATATATAGGCAAATGTACGAATGTAATGATATTTGGAAAAAACAACAACAACACTTGAAGCGGTACACAGACTCCGCCAGACTGAAATAGCAATGAGATATCACGAGATGAGTTTTCTATGCACGCTCTCCCTTTCTCTGGGTGTTTCAGAGAAAAATGTTGGACGAATAAATTAACGTATGTGTACGAAGCATTTCATTCAGTTTTTCGAATAATTTTTTTATCCACTCGTTTCATTCATTTGTTTGTTTTTATTTGGCGTGTTTTCTGTTTGCTTTTATACCGAGTCACAGAGAGATAGAGGAAAAAAAAACATTGGATGACACCGATTCGTGGAGTCTCATTCCATGGCAATGACGTTTTTCTAAGTAAGTTTTCACAATTCATTCATGAATTATGATGTGTGTTGTCACGTTATTGCACACATTCGTTTTTCGAGATTGGTTTGTCGATATTTTGTGTCTAATTTTTTGTCTCTGTTGTTGCTGGCACTGGCGCTGCTTCTACGGCTGTCCAACCACCGACAGATAAGCATTTAACGACAGGTAATCTAAAGGTCACACCAATCAAAATTACAAATTGAAAATTATTTAAATGGGTTATGAAATTACATTCTATCGAGGCATAAAACGAAGCAAGCGCATAATTCAACAAATTTTAAATAAATATTCCAGTCGCGATTACATGAAATTTTAATGCTTGTTTTATTTAGCATTTTGAATATAAATATTTTCTATCTTATTGCTTATTAATAATGTGCTTAGTTATTCTTCTGCGCTGATTCAGTTTGTATTGGCCGTGCTCTTGTCTCATGTTGAGTTTTTGTTGTTGTATTAGAATAAAACTACTTGCTGTACACACAAATCTCGGGGCCGTTGTCATCGTTGTGTGGTTTTTTTTCGCTCTCTGTATACGACGTTCATTCATTCATTCATTCATTCACAAAATCATCATCATAACAATAATATGTTATATCCTGTTGGTAATAATCTAAATTTCCGATCTAAGTAAATGAGTCCATGTGTGTGAATGAGTGAGAGAGAGAGAGAGAGAGAGAAACAGAGGCGAATACGTAGATGAAACGCCAAACGCGATATGAGCTTCAAGCTTATTGTACAAATTCGTACAATTTTGCTAGCGGAATATGGATAAATGTTGTGTTGCATGCGTTGAGCATATCCATTCATTCATCCATTGGCTTAATCGACTTTGTTGCATGGTTTGCGCAAAGAATAGAGACGAAGCGAACAAAACGAATGAGCGAGCGAGAGCGGTATAGTGAGTCATGTGTATCTGTTATAAATTTCAAGCCATACATAACGCGTGAGCGAGAGCCACAGACCCCGACACCGAATCCGAACTGCATATAACATAGCGCAAGCAGCCAGAAAAATATTAATGAATGAATCGAGCGTATTTATGAATGAATTTGAAATGCCAAAAAATGCTCACTTATTTTATAGTGTGAGGCGTAGTGATTCCGAAGCGACGATTGAATTCATGTGCATGGCGAATTTAACGACTTCTCGTTCTCTCTCTCTCTCTTTCTCTCTCTCTTGAAAAAACGGCGAAACATGTACAGCCACAA